TCGAGAAGTATAGATTTGTACTGAAATTTCTGTCTATTCCAGTCGGATTCCTGTCAATTGTTGTGTCGCATTTCATTGTCGTCTCCTCGTCGTGAGGCTAAGGAAATCAAGAGTTTGAGGATCCAGTTTACAAGGTTGCTTTCAACATTCAACACCCCAGACCGAGGCGGGATGCATGGCAGGAATTATTTTTTCCCCTACCAGCGGTACTGAGCCTTCCTTTTTCCTTGACCAGTTATATAATGTTCGCCCCCTGCTTCGCGTTACATGGCATGTTGGGTCATGCATTCAACTAATCTTGTCAAGTACATGGCAATGATATTGGTTGGCCTCAGATAGGCATTTGAGATCGCAGCGTCAAGATAAGAGAGAAATGCTCCGCCAGCACAGGAAGCCGGTAAGTTAGAGGAAGACCGTTTGATGTATCCAAGGTTGAGGGCATTATAGATTTCGATCCCCTTCCAAGTTCCTGAGAGACAAAAGATTGTGTTACATAGTATTGAAATTCTAGGCACTGCAATAGCGTTTCTTACCATGTGAGGGGGTGGACTGGCCCCGATCACCCCACAAAACCACTGCAAGGTCAACGGTGGCGTACATAGCACCAGTGCGCAAATGTGCTTATGGAAAAGACGCCCTTTGATGCCAGTGCAGGATTGCCCTTTTGAATCCCTAGTCGGCATGTCACATGTACACCAAAGCGCCGCAAATGACATTGTGCAAAGATTTATCAGTAATGAAGACAAAAGCCTAGAGGTGGCGCTAACTAACTTGGATTCAACCAGACGAAAAAACAATACTTGGCTTGTGGATCCGCAAACACGTGTTGGACTTTTCTATATGGATCAGGTTAGTCAAGGTGAATCAAATGATCGCGGACCATGCCAAAACTGGCTGGTGTGCATGTGTTCGTCCGGTCCAGTGCCAAAATGCAGTCAGGTGACAGGCTGTGAGTGCCCCTCTCGACGCAGTGACTGCAACTGTGAAAGGTTGTGAAAAATACTGTTGGTAGTATGAGTGAAATATGAAAAGTCAACTCATAATCAACGGCCAAACACAGAGAAATCGGGAGATCCGTCGGTCGAATTTGAGTGATTCTTTAAAGGGGCAATGAGAAAGAAAAGTTACACATCACATATGGACACTGGGGTGATCAGAATGGGGTCAATTACTCAAATGAAGGTGACTCACTGGGCGAGTGCTCCACCTTGTTCCAGAAAATATACATCCTGCCATAGCAGATCTTGACAGACTCTCCCCCCATACATTGGGCTGTCGTCACCTCACAGATGATCGCCAGCCGATATAAGGTTTCTGCAATCAGAGAACATCTCTCCCAACAATCATGACCACCCAACGCTTATATGTCATCGCCGTCATACCTGGAGATGTACTTAATTGGTTGAGAAGTGACACCACCTGCCTTGTGTTGTTTGGAGGCAGCTGCGAAGAGGTTTGGGTTTCAATTAGAATTTCACCACTATCTCTGGATGAACCTACTTTCACGAGCATGGAACGGGGCTGCCGCCGGACTGGAAGAAGCTTCTGCAAGCCTGTGATGCGATTTATTTTTTTGGAGCAGGTATAGTCACGTTGGGAATAAAACGGAAAATTCACTTCGGTCGGATCAGTTGGTGACCCAGATACTGTACCTGACCACACCTCTCTGTGGGGAAGCTTCCTGTTGTTCGTTGTGAATTTGACCAGTATATCAATCTTCGGCCATGTCACCTCCTTCCTGGTATTATCCATATTTCTCTATCATTAGAGCCCCTCGTGATACATTAATATAATTAGGGGGATGGTTAAGCCCTTTGCAAATGTAAGATTTAACACACTGATAACAGCTAGAACATCTCCTTGAAAATCGCTTGTGGTAAGCCGTGTCCGGGGGAGTCCGAGAAACACGCGTGCCCAGTTTGAATCTAGGTATTTGACGATGGACATCAGGTGGAAGAGGGAATATGTAATCGATCTGGGAATACACATTCAACATTCGTCTCGATAACGAACAGTTTCACCTACATTTGGAGATCCAAGAGAGCCTGGTTGGGTTTTTCTGGCCAGCGCCCACAGAGTGAAGACTAAGCAATTGCCTCAAAGATCAAAGGCGAAAAAGAAGCCCCACCTCCTAACTTCTAAGAAACATTAGCTTTAGGCATAGTGTTCGCAAGTTCAGTTCAGTCCGGTTTTTTGCCCCCAAAACGCGCAACCGTGGACCGCAACCGGTCTAGGACCGACCCAGATATTGAGGGAACCGAACCGAACCACCTAGGACCGGTCTATTTCGGTCTATGGAGCCGGTTCAGACCGATCCAGACCGGTTTTTTTGCGTATAATTTATTATACCAATATAAACCATTTGTATCTTGACTATTATTACTCTGAAAAATAAACGGGCTATATGAAATAGTAAAGCATGTAAATACCCGTCATTCTACCAATTTTGAAGAGATTTAATGAAGATTTGACATAGCTATGACTGAAACCGAATTACATCTCGTAGAGACTCGGGTAAAATATGGATTTGGTTATATCTTTCTCAATTCTTACCCGTTTTTGATGAAACAAAAACCCAATAAAAGGTAATAAACGTGGTTACAAGGGTATGTAACGCACGTGACCGTTTAACCGGTTGCAACCGATCAAAACCGGTCTTTGAATGGTTTTAATATATTTTCGAAGTGAGGCAACCGGCAACCGGACCAACCCCAAATTGGGGCAACTGCAACCGAAAAAAAGACCGGACCATGGTCCGGTTCAGTTCGGTCCACTGGTTTTTTGCGGTCCTATGGACTGAACCTTTAAACACTATTTAGGCACAGCAGAGCGTTTTAGCTTGAACCAAACCCGGAGACGCCCTCGAAGATAAGGATATCATATTCAAACCTTGATCGTACAAGGAAGGTCATACTAAGGTCCACGCTAGAAAAAAAGACTTTATATGCACCACCATATTGAAGTCTACCCAGTGGAAGTCAATCTGAAAAATGGTGCGGCCTTCAAGCAATCCAAGAAATAAGTATAGAGTCGTGGAGGTCAGGAGTGGCAGAATGAGAGCCATGAGAAGATCAGTGTTATTGGTTATCGCCGGAGTTGAGTGCTTCAGCAAGCACGCATGATTGCAAGGCATCAAAGGCATCATGGTGAGTGAATAAGTCTTTGCTCCCACCCCAGACTACGCTTTTGAGCAATATTTCAAAACAGCTGCTCAGTACCATGTTGCTACTCAACTCTGTTTTGTCATTGTTGCCGTTGTCGCTGCCCCTCCCCCTTGCATACCCCTCTTTCTCATCCCGTAAGGCATGTCTGAGATCTTCAGGGAGCTGGTCATCGTTGGTGATGGTGCTTGAGGAAAGGTGTGTGTCTTTATTGCTTTTGGCATATTTGTCATCGTCGTCATTGCACAATGATGCCCAGCGCCGAGACTCGCCTTCTTACCACCTCTTTCCATGTTCAGAGGTGCTTTTTGATTGTATTTTCTAAAGGAGCTTTGTCCAAAGTGCACTTGAAATTTCTATAGAACGCTGCACCCGATCCATGCTCATTCCCTCTATCTAGGTCTACGTCCCAACAGTGTTCGAGAACTACGTTGCAGACGACAGAAAGCACGTTGCACGTCATCCGCATCTGCTTTGCTGTCGACTCTCCGTATTCCCTCGATAATATCCAGGACAAGGTTCATCTCTTATCTTGAGCCCCTCTGGTGTGTCCTCTTGTCCTTATTGAGTTCTGACCCTTTTTCTTACTGGATCTCTGCAGAAATTCACCTCTGTGCTTGTCTTCCCATCATTCTCGTCAGTTGCAAAAAAAAATCTCAGGTGTGATCCCTGTGTGATTGAGGAGCTCAGAGAGATGAATCAGAAACCCGTTACCCCGAAGAGGTCAGTTCTCTCCCTTTGTTTCTCATCTGCTCACTTATAATTTCTTGGACGGTCCACCTTACAATCATTTTCTACCCTTTACTTTCCTTCATTTATCTCTTGGATTTTCGCAATGGAAAGGTGTGATAGGTCGTCGATGATACTGATCACCTTTATGTATACAAGGCACAGCCTGTAGACGTGGAGTAATACTCATTGCAAATGTTGTTACTTATGGGTATAAAGGATGTATTGATGGTGTGGCCATCAGGTCAGAGGCGATGAAAAGGATACACATGAAACAAAAAAGAGGTCATAGTGGTTTCGTGGAAAAAGGTAAAAAAATGTAAGGGTGTCTAATGCCAGAAAAAAGTCCCCTACATGATGATACACTTGCCCGGCTTCTTCTCTTTCGTTTTGGTTGGCACTGAGCCCCCGGCCTCTATTCTGGTCTGTCGTAATGCACGAATGAGGTTCATGAAGAGGCACTCGACGTTCTGCACTGTCTTGGCTGAAGTCTCGATGAATTCACAGCCGAAGTGCCGCGCCATAGCGGCACCTTCCTCCTTTGATACCTCTCGCTCATAGGTCTTGTCACATTTATTGCCGACAAGCATGAAGATTGGTTCATAGCGCTTGACTCAGCGCATGGACTGGCGGAAAACCTCAAGCCGATCGAATGTCGACCAAGATGATTGAATACATTAAGATGATTGAATACATTAAGATGAATCCTTGTCCCTCTCTGAACACCCATTAAGCTGGGATAACGAGGTGTTACAACATGACTCACCGGACCCACTGATCACGCAACGTGGCATATTCCTCTGGTGTTTGGTGAGTAATGAGAAGTATCAGGGCAGAAAGAACGCGCACCCTGTCCAGCCGTGTCAATTACCTCTACAAAACACATCCTATCGTCTACCACCAACTGCCTCTGGTACGCGTCTTCAATTGTGGGATCATACGTCTAAAGAGCTGTTAGAGGGTATCATCAGAGAACGGTAAGTGAGAGGGGTACCTCTAATAAACAACAATACTGTGTTGATTATTGTGCAATAGAAATGAGAGGTTAGAAGCTTACCGACGAAATAGTTGAGGGTAAACTAAGTGAAAAAGCATTGATCTGCAAGCTAATTGTGTTTATGACAAGGGTTGGGCGCACCTGGACAGCTAGCGCTGTTTTGCCCATGTTGCCTTCACCCAGCAGAGCAAGTCGCCAATTGTCCATACTACAATAAAGAGGCGAGAGTCTTCAGCGCGGTGCATAGTTCGTGGACAGGTCGTGATATTGACAGCAGGAGGCGTCAGATCCACAGTCAGATCTGTCACACAGCGGCTAATGTCAGACTTTTCTTAGAACACCGGTTCACTCCCATCGAGAAATGACGCAAGATTAATCTTGGAGCTCCTGGAGGGGGGGCATTGAACGTTGTGAGTCAGGCTGAGCTTCTTGAAGCAGCACGGGGACAACATAATGAAAGGTCAGAGCAAAAAGGCAAGAGTTACAAATCCAATTGCGGGTGGCATGGACAAGGCACGGAGTCAGAGAGGCGAGGGGGGTCAAGATAAGACTGAGGGGCATATTCGAAAAGGATATAGTTGGGCTGGATGGGCTAAGGTGTTTGGTCTTGATAAGAGGCAAGGATGAGGAGGCATTGGGGACATTGTCAAGCCAGGCGATGCAGGTGAGTGGTTTGTAAGGCAACCCTTTCACCGCAACTAACTTTTAATATAGCACTTTTGTTCTCCCCAGCATTGAAAGGGTCTGGGGAGCACTAACTGGTGCTCATATGCCAAGTCAGTTTGCTACTAGTGCAGTCGACCTCGAGACACCCACAGTACGCTCTCTAGCTAATTTATCATTTTTGATCTTTAGATCGTCGTATGCATCATCACACATTCAAGTCCTCAACCAACTACTTTTCTGCAAATCTACGAAGCGCGTATCAAGGCCACCAGGCGCACAAGCATGCATAGTCAGAACCACCTATCTTATAGAACACGACTTCTACACATTAATTAATATCCCTGGTTATCTGGAAGACAGTAAGCTACTTTTTATACGGCCCTACAGGTCTCACGTTCGTCTCTAGCCTACACAATCCAAGACATCTCCTAGCCTCCTTTCCCTTGTCACGGCGCTACCTGCCACCTTCACCTCACCCTCCCTGTGCATCAACCCCATATTTACCCACATTTTGACCATTCTGCTTCTCCCAAACCGGATACCACTTGACTCACAGTCTCACTTCATATCCTGCATCCCATTCTCAGATCTATCCATCCTAGAGCAATATAGCACCAGTTCCGCAAGTACAGAAGAATCAAAAATCTAGATGCAACCTGAGAGACAGAAGTGAATGAATGGATGGCCTATAGGATCCCACAATCCTTCAAGGCATTTTGCAAGATTGTTTCCTTGATTGTGGCAAAGACCAGCTGGATGTTGGTAGTATCCGTGGCTTGGGCGAGGCTAGTAAGAGGGCAAGCGACGATCAGCGATCGGTACTGCAAGAACTGAGAGTAGCAAAAGATTGCAAAAAGCCGGAAGAGGGGACATTCGCCCATAAAGGGTGCAGTTTGCGACAAGAAGAGAAGCAGGTAGTCGCAAGTGGGGCACATGAGGAAGAGATAACAGCATCGGGCAAAGGGAAAAAATCAAACTGGCGGACAAAGGGGGATAAAAGATGAGAGAAATATATACTGCGGATACACAGTCAGCCGCGCCCTATTTGCCTGCATGAACTTCCACAGGATGTACTTGGCTTCCTTGTTGATATCAGAGCTGCCCGTGTATTCTGGGAAGTACCGTTCCAGTGGGACCTAAGTGAGAGAAGTGTCAGCATGAGCAAGGAGATGAGAAGGTGGACAGAAGCTCAAAGAAGGGTAGTGAGGGAGGAGTGGCAGGGATGATGGAAAAGGTCTTTCCAATTCCGACAGGTCAGAGGGTATGAATGAGATTGACAGACGACAGAGACAATAATGGGGAGGAGAGCAGAACAATGGAAGAAAGACCAAGAAAAGATGCAGTGCACAGAACATACCTTTGGTAACTTATGCTTGAACACATCAATCTTGTTCAAGATTAATATGATTGAGGTGTGGAGGAACCACCTCGAGTTGATGATTGACTCGAACAAGACTAGCGATTCTGCCATCCGATTCTACAATGGAATGAGTCAGTATCCCAGCAGGAGGGAGGGAGGGAGTGGGACCTGCGACTTTTCTTCCAACAAGACTTGGTCGTATTCGCTCAGCGATGTGCAGAAGATGATGGACGTGACCGACTCAAAACAGTTGATCCATTTTTTCCACTCTGAACGTCGGCCTCCTACGTCGAACATGTGTATTCTGCGAATAGAAGTTCATCAGCACCATGTCAGAGCAGGCGCCATCAGAACATAACAGGTAACATAGAAAGAAGTATGATAGTAGAAGACGCAGAGCAGGTTGTGAAAAGACAACAAAAATAACGAAAATACATACGACAGTTGGCCCATAGTGAACCACGTCTCTGTGATCCCGACGCTCTTCCGTCGTGCTCTCAGAGCATCAGTCACGTTGGGGAGATATCCGGGCCTTCCTATCTGTAGTACTTCTCTAAAGAAGCTGTCAGGCAAGTCAGCAAGGTCGAGGTGCAAGGGCGGGAGGTAACACAGACTACTATGCCCTACCACGACCTCGGCACCCCCTCTCAGTCGGCAGATTTTTGAATGTCGCCCAATACACAACCAGGAGCTTAGATAATTTGGATACAATACTTTTTTTGCATTTCTAACAAGATAGAAGTTGTTTGGGGTGCATATCTCTAAAAACGAGTGAGTCCCGTCAAAGGAGCAAAGCAGGGATTGTCACGCTGTTGATCAGCGCACCGAAGTCAGAGCCCGAAATTGTCAGGGTCCCAACGCGTCAATAGCACCAAACTTCGCGAACGCGTCGCTGTTTATCGACGTGTTTACTGCATGCCATGGCGCGTCTAGGGCAAAAAAATCGCTGCACCGGGGATAGCTCACATGAGCTGTGTATGCAGTCTGCCTTGGATGGCCTTGCAAACGGAACCTACAAGACAATTTCAGGAGCAGCGCGTGCTTCATGCGTAAGCTTATTTCTCCTGTAATAATGCCGTGCTAATCAGCTTCTCAAAAGATAAGCAGACAAACTCTGTCTGACAGGGCACGAGGCACCCACCAAAGCCGACGTGCATCCTACGAAAAGCAGAGACTCCTAACAAAAGCAGAAGAGCAGACCCTCCTGGACTGGTGCGACCATTCATCAGCCATGGCAAAACCAATGGATCCTGCAACTCTTTGTGGGAGAGCTCTATCTGTCAAGGGGGTGTACTCGGGAAAAAATTGGTCTTGCCGCTTTATTAAGTGCCATCCAATACTCAACCTCGGTAAACCCAGTGGGCTCGATCCCAGACGTGCCCATAACTTCAACGAGCCGACAATCAAAGATTATTTTTGCCTACGGAAAGAGCTGGATGATAAGTACTCTGGGATCCCCCCTGAGCACCAATGGAACATGGACAAGAAGGGAATCCAGCTTGGTGGTGGCCGGAAAAACAACAGGCACAAGTTCATATTCACACGTCATCACAAAGACCGCTACCGTATCCGAAGCGATAATCTCGAGCTCGTAACGATCATTGAATGCATCTCAGCAGCTGGCATCATGATGCCCCCCACCTTTATTCTCAAAGATGGTCCCAAGCCTGATATTCGTGATATTCCAGATGGTGCAGTTTTGAGGTAAGTGGAATTTCTGTGCTTTTGAGTGACCACATCATTGATTTGGGTTCTTTAAGCATTGGGTTCTCCCCAAATGGGTGGGCTGATCGAGAGCTATGTGAATCCTGGTTTATGAAAGACTTCGTTAACTTCGCGCTATCACAACGCGTTTGTGACAAGCCAATTGTGCTCAACTATGACGGACATGACTCTCATGAGACGGTTGAGATGCAGCGCATTGCTTTTGATAATGGCATCATTCTCTTTGCTCTTCCATCGAAGACAACCCACAAAACCCAGCCACTTGATGTCAGTGTCTTCTCAGCAGTTCAAGATACGTGGTCGTATCACTGTGATAGGCCTGTTGCCAAGGGTATCACCATGGACCACTACAACATAATTCATGAATACCTTCAAGTTCGCCACGTTGTCACTCCCGAGCTCATCAAGACCGCCTTCCGAAAGACTGGAATCTATCCATTAAATCCAAATATATTCACCACAGATGATTTTGCACCCAGCAAGAGCTCCTCCACAGTTGCTCATGTCCCCACTTCATTTCCTGATGAAATCCCATCTTCTCTGCCAGCTCAGCCTTCTGACTTGGATTCTGACACCAGTGACGAGGAATATTTACCATCAGGAAGTGATTTTGATTCCGAAAACGATGGGTGCTTGGACTCTGATGCAGAACATGAAACATTTTATGTAGAGGATGGGTTCAATACCATTGATTTCGGCCTCGACATGATGGAAGACATTCAAACTGATCCACTCCCAATATTGCAAAATCCACACTTCAACACCTTCGACATGCTAGAAGATGCTAATCTCTTGGACGACAATGAGATCTATCCAGATACACCCATAGACAATGATTACAACTTTCCGCCAATACCTGATTCCTACATCTGGAGTTTTGACAACTGGAACTTTGACCCCAGTCCGGATACCCAACCACGAACACCCCCTTCTCTCAACAGTCACTCTTGCTCACTCTCAACCTAACTGCTTTTAGTCATGTCTTACATTTTCGTGTACTGGCGTGACTACTATATGACCAACACCTGACCATCCGTTTTTACTGAGTGTGACCGCCGACTGAGAGGAGGTGCCGAGGTCGTGGTAGGGCATAGTACTTGGTCCAGGCGTCACTTCCGCTGCGTGGGGGTTGATTGCCGTTCTGCCTCCGAGTCGGTCGGAGGATCTTCTGCGTCCACCAGCTGCGTGTGTGTATCTGAGCGTTCAGGAGGTGTCAGCGACCGATTTGACATAGTGAATGTCTAAATTGATAAGCACAAACACAATAGACGCGATGACAATGTCAGTCACATAATGTGACATTGTGTGACGGAAGGCGTACCGATCCTTACCTAATACCTGCAACTTAAAGTGGGGTACCTTCCCTCCTCCGGCCACCAACGGCTTGCATACCCACACTCGAATATTGATGGCTTCGAATCAACTTCGAATAAGAATAAAAGGCACGGTTAAATGATTGCCCTCACTCAATAATGTGTGAACCTCCTATTGGTGTGGGTGACTCCGAGTTCTCTTCTGGAATTGAGCATCATTAATTTAGTACTTATCAGTAGCCAAATTGAACTTGGCCATGCTCGTCAGATCCTCTGGGCTCCCCGCTTTGCTGCAGACTTGTCAAGGGTGTGATGGTTCCCCATTCATTTGAGCCTGTCAGTGTCGAGGTCGACATTGAAGCGTCGGTGGCTGCTGCTCCGTTTTTCCTTGCGGCTTTTTCTGTGAGGCGCTTTGTTTTGACGCTGAGTGACATGGTGGTTTGGGAATGAGCCCCAGTGAAAACCTGCTCTGGGGGGGTCTGGAAATATCTGTGAGAAGCTGGCCTAAGCTGGACCCCCAGAAATCGTCGGTGGAGCCAGTTTTTGTCCGCTTTCCAGAAAATATCTGGCCTCATCTGGACAGTATTTCTGGGAGATACGTCAAAATTCTGGGTACCACTGGCTCCTACTGGGTTGTGCTGGGGTATGGCACAACTATTTTTAATTTGGTAGTAGCTAATAATATACACGTATTTCTGGATCTACCTGGATCTATCTGGGACCTACCGAGGCTATCCGACTGTGGGTATCCATTCTATTATTTCGGATCGCTACGGGCCAACTTCTTTGCTAAGACCTCCTCTGATTTCTTCTGCTTGGCAAGCGCGTCGTATTTCTGTAAGACAAAGGTATCAGTTCAAAGATGTAACTGAGGCGACTGTACAATCACATACCTGTTTTGTAGTGTCGTCGAGAGCATCGAAAACCTTTTTGAACTTGGCCTTTGTTGTATCAGGATGTTCTTGAAGGTAGTCAATTGCGAAAAGGTTCCTAACTTTTATTTTCAGCAGACAAAGTGAGAGAGCAACAAGGAACTGACTGTGAAGTGATTGCTTTGGATGGTTCCATGGCCTTCCCCCTTTTAGGCTTCGTAGTTGTGGGATCAGTGGTGTGAGGGACCTGGACGAGGGGTGGTGGGATAATCAGTTGGGCGCTACAATCGACGATAAGAGAAATTCAACGTGGAAAGAAAGTGAAGAGACATACAACAAGTCCCCCTCATCAGCGCCGTCACCTGCGCGGGCGATATTGGCTATCTTGTCAAGGACAGGCGGGACCGGCAGGGCCTGCTCGTCATCAGGCTGAGGAGATCGCCGTGACAGGTGATCACTGCAAAGAGTTGAGGTTGGCTCTTTGTTGATTTGAACCTGTGGCAGGACCAATGAGGTGTTTGAATCGTGTTGCGGGACTGCTGTAGGATTGAATTTAGAAGACGGCGCTGACCCGCAATTGCTTTGTGAGAAGCTGACAATAGCTCACTGTTGTTTCGAGGGTTGGGTACACTGCCTTGAGGGGGTGACGGCGCAAGTTGAGTGGGTGATGGCGCATGTTTAGGGGGGTGATGGTGCACGTTGAGGGACCTGCACTGGACCGTTCCGACCCTCTTGTACACGTTTGGAAAGAGGCTCGTCCTGATAGGGTCAAATGTGGGCGTAAAGGATGAGAGAAGACGTGACTTACTGTGGGTGCGGAAGACTTTGCGCTCACCGACGAAAGGTGAGGTTGACTTGGGGTGCAGACAGGGGAGGAAGTGCGAGCCAGCATCTTTGGGTCTGGGTTCCAGGGTTCTTCTATAGCGAGGTCAATGACATTTGTGTCAGTGGGAGGTGGTGCGTTAACATCCTGCTTCGTTTTTTTCTTTTTCTTCGCAATTCCCTCATCTTCAGGTGCTTTTCTCTTGACAATGGAGGGCTGCGCACCTTCAATAGACTTTAAGAAATAATTATTTGAGAAATGAGAGCGATATACGACTCAGCTTCCCCCGCTTACGAACGTCCTCCAACCAATCGGGATATCGCACCGTGGCAAAAGCATGGACTTTCCAATCCCCTTCGCAAAGTCGAAACTCCTCGAACTTGGTCCGCATCGTGTTGCTGAAAAAATCGGCTGCATACATTGTCCGGAGACTCCAGGTCTTTGGATCCTCGCGCCACATGTAGAGCGACGACCAAAGGCTTCGTGCTGTGTTCGTGATTGTCGTGAGCCTCGCATCGTCAATTTCATCGCCATCTGTGTCTGTTAGGAACCCAAGTTTCTTGTACCCTTTCCCCCTCTCCTTGCAATTCTTCTGGTACGTGACCCATTTTCCCCTCTTCCAATATTTGCCGTCTGGAAACTCGGCCTCAAGACATTTGGCTGGTGAAGGTGGTATAGCGGCTTTGGTAGGTGCTGTGTCCTGCAAATGCACAGGCGCTTGAGGTGCCGAACCAATACTTTACCATCCCCCACATAATCCACATGGACTCCACTGGATTCCACTGGCTTCCACTGGATTCCACTGGACTGGACTGGACTGGGCTGCCAATCACAAAACTGGACTCCACTGGACTCCCAGCACAAAACTGGACTCCACTGGACTGCAAGCATAAATCTGGACTGGACTGGACTGGGCTGGACTGCAAATCACAAAACTGGACTCCACTGGACTCTCCCAACACAAAACTGGACTGGACTGGACTGCCACAGACCTAAGTTAATTCAGAATTCCTGAACTTAGATCTCAAAACAAAAAATAAAATTGAAGTATATTTATTAATTAAATTAATTAAATTTACTAGATTCTATGTTACAGAGAGGGGGAGGGAGAAGAAGGAAAAGAAAGGGGAGAGGGAAGAAGGGGGAACGGAGGAATGGAGGGGGAGGGAGTGGTGTCAGGAAGGGAAAGGGAGGGGGGAGGGAGCAAGGAAGGGGGAAGGGAAAGGGAGGGGGGAAGAGAGGAATGGAGGGGGAGGGAGCAAGGAAAGGGGGAGGGGGGAAAGGGGGGAGAGAGTGGTGAAGAGAGGAGGTAGTGATGGGGGGAGAGAGTGGAGGGGAGGGGTGGTGCTGCTGGGCCCTCGTCGCCGTTCCGCATTGGCATTGGCGGTGGTGGGCGCCGTCGCGTATCGTCGTGCTCGTGTGTTGTTGTTGTTGTTGTTGTTGTTGTTGTCGTGTGTCGTTGTCGTCGCGTCGTTGTTGTTGCGTGTCGTCGTGCTCGCGTGTCGTCGTTCTCGCACGTCGTCGTCATCCTTGCACGTCGTCATCGTCGTCGTGAGTCGTCGTCGTTGTCGCGTGCCGCTGCTGGGCACTCGTCGCCGTTCTGCGTTGGCGTTGGCGGTGGTGGGTGCTCGTTCGTCGTTGTCGCGTATCGTCATGCTGGCGTGTCGTTGTCGTGTGTCGTCGTTGTCACGTTGTCGTTGTCGCGTGTCGTCGTGCTCGCGTGTCATCGTCGTCGTCGTTCTCGCACGTCGTCGACCTCGCACGTTGTTGTCGCGTGCCGCTGGCACCTGTCGTGGTGAGAACTGGGCATTGGGGTGGTGGGCATACGTACCCTTGGCCCATGACGTTGCCACGTCATGGGCGTTGTCCCTCGTTCTTGGCCCGTCATTCCGCGTTGGCATGGGCGTTGTTGGCGTGGGCGTGGGCGTTGTTGGCGTGGGCGTGGGCGTTGTTGGCATGGGCGTTGTTGGCGTGAGCGGCGTTGGCGTCGGCGGTGTTAGAGGACAGTGGTGGTGGTGGAAGGGAAAGGGATGGTCATGGATGTGTGACCATGCCGCAAACAGGATACGTGACGATATGGCACGCCCTCAAGTAGTCACGTGATCTCACCCCGCAGACTGAACAAAATCATGAATCCTTATTGCAGCTATCACTACCTATACTAATATCTATAACATTACCTTTCCATTCATTGATCAATAGAATTATAAGTCTGTATAGTCTATTTCGCTTTTTTGTAGTATTAATAATAATAAGTAATAAGCAATAATGCACTGGAATCACTGGAATCCACTGGACTCCAGTGGATTCTGACTGGACTCATAGTCCACTGGACTGGGACTGGACTCAGAAAAGTGGCTTGTAGTCCAGTGAGAGTCCAGTGGACTGGACTGGACTGGACTGGACTTGAGTCCAGTGGACTGGGGATTGTGCAAGCCAATTTGGCCTGACAAATGGGCCACTGGACTCCACTGGACTCCACTGGACTCCACTGGAATCCACATGGATTACGTGGGGGATGGTAAAGACCTCGTGCCGAACGGTACTGTAGCATATCTTTCAATTCCGTAATTAATTCTCTATGTGGGACGCGAAATCAGTAGATGTATGCTAATAAAACATATCAAAATCACCATTGCGCAGTAAGTTGTCCTTTCAAAAACAGAACACTGTTGTGTAAGGCCATAAATGTGTGATTTTGCGCCCGCAGGAGGTCGGTCTCAGTAGCAGTTGCAAGACGCGCTAAAAAGGCATGGTCGTCGTAACCGGGAGCCACAGTATGTCCTCTTGAGTCAAAATTTGACTGGAATGTCTGAATTCAATGTAAAAACACGCATTTACACCAGATTTCAACAAGACTTACCCCGAGGGTACCAATATGCATCTGGTTTGAGCTGCCCAGAGTCATCGACGGCCATTGTCCTTCAGTAATTTGATCCAGCTGCCTGTTAGAGGACTCAAAGAAAGAGAGCGGCGAGGAGTGGCGATTGTACTGTCCTGCCATGGTGGCAGAACGAAGAACTACTTCGTCTCATCACCTGTGTTGTCAACGGTGGCCATCACATGATTCCAACACGCACCTACCTTTACGCGCAGTGTCCCCACAGACAATCGTCCTCTTGGACTTGTTAATTTAATTACAATCACATTGTGTAATTCTTGAGGTGGCCATTACAAAGCTTCATCTACATTAAAATATCCGTGGAGTTCTGTGTCATCCAATCCTGATTTTTCTACGACAAACCACAAATTCTCTGTATCTCCGGGAAGCTTGGGCAAAGGTTGCATTGAGACAGCTGAAAGTATTGAGGAGGCTTTGACAACTTGTAAAGCTGCAATACCCTGATATCGGCAAGCATGTAAGGTGCCAAGGAGTCTTCGAGCATATCTGCATCTGGAGGACCGTACATTGAAATGAGAGCGTACGGCACCATCTCTGCATCACGATTTTCAAAAAGGAAGTAGAACTGTACTTCAGCGAATTCTGTTTTGTTATTGAGACTCATCTAAGATATTGTTGTTAAGTTTTAAAAGGTTGTGATTTCGCGAGTGGATTACCTTGACATTTAGCAAGACTCGAGTATTTGATCGCTTTCCTGTTTCAGAGAATTTGCTGCGAACGATTTGGCCATTTGGTAGTTGTATACGTCCCCAGTGACGCAATCGAGAGATCCCCAATCCATCTTTTATTATCTCCAGCTCATTGTCCAAAAGTCCGATTGCATACTGATCCCGTGGCCATAAAAATGTTAAATTATTGCCACAGTCATAAGCACCATTTGGAAGGGAAGTGATGGAGTCAGGGTCAAGCTCTGGACAAGTGGTTTTGAGGGCATTAAGCTGGGCCCTGCGGTTTTCAACTTGACACAAATTACTGAATATGTTTGACGGTTGCCGGATATCACGACCCAGATCACCAATGGCACGCTCCATCGTGAACTGCGTCGTATAAGCGCCAGGTCCCACACGCGCAATCTCGGGAGCCGCATGGAGAAGGGTGTGAATGCATGGCCAACAGAAATGAAGTCAATCAATTCGTCGTTGATAATAAAGGTGTTCATATTCCTCAACAAACGATGTCAAAGAAACATGCGCTTCGGCAACTTGGCGCCCAGTAATGCTCCATTGAATGATGATTCGAAAACCGTGAACCAGTTTGCAGAAATTTCGCCAATACTTTTCGGGAAGGACAGCACGAAAGAATCCGGGACCAAGTCCGAACAGGTAAAGATAATATTCTGTTGCTTTAAACCCACTTGAGATTTTTTCTGCAGGATTTCGAGGTGGGCGATGACACGACGAGGGAAAATATCGAGTTGCTGCTGCGACGAGTTTCCCATGTTCAATCCATGTATTGCCGACTAGAGTAGCCCAGTCCCAGCTAGCCTTATCGTCTGTCTGATCACATCTGAATGTTCCACACCACAAGGGAATAAAAAGTTCACCGAAATTTATGAAGGGGTGCATGAGATCGAGGGGAAAGCATGTTCCAACAGGAATTACGTAGTCAGGACGCAATCCGCTTATAATCGATGGTTTGCTGATCCTGGTAAGTTTTCTGTTGTGCTCGTATTCTGGTTGATCTTTCGAACTAACAACTTTTGCTAGGTTAAATTGGTAAGTTTCGGGTGAGGGGTCTGTCGGAGGACGACGAAAATCATAATCGGGATGGTTGGAATCCTCGACAGAGCAATCGTTGGGGCGTAAGTGCGCAGCACAGTAGTGGCCACTACCAGGTTTATGTCGTCCTTTCATAGGGCATCCCACTCGGCAGCCTTGCGCACCATGGTGACCGACCCGTCCATCAAGCTCTGTCATTCCCAGTGCATCAGCAGTGCCGTACACGAATATCACCCGCGAGTTCAGAGTCTTTTGTTGAAGGATATCCCACACAGCCATTCCTCGGCCGTCATTCTCACGTTGGAGGGCTGATAAATGATAAAAACTGCGAAAAAGAAATGAATTGAGGATTTTTGGCTTGTCTGGACCCAGAATGACAATGCCTGGAAGGACATGCTTCTTTCTGAAGCGAGTTATGGGATTGTAGTCACAGATAATGAAGATACCAATCCATGTATCAGATTTCTTGTTTTGATAAAGTTGTGCCCCGTTGACTGAGAAGGAAACCACAGTATCGTCCTTTGTAAGTCCTAGTTTCTCTGCCAGCTTTCTGAAGGCGCTACCAGAATATATGTCATCATATAGACGATCAGCCGCTGATCCAGGGGTATTGAACTCTTTGAGGATTTGAGAAAGTTTTTGATCTCGGTATGATAGGGCAGCGGCACCCTGATGTGAGCGGCAAAGTGCTTGAAGCTGTGGTCCAAGCAGAATAGTGCAGGCCTGTTGTCGGGGGACTTCTTTTCCGGTTCGAGCGAGTTTTTCTGGATCATAACGAAGTTCGGAACATTCAGGGCACACTTTCAAATCGGTGAAGGGACCAATAAACGCGACACAAGATTTGATGCACATGTCATCGAGCACTGTGTCAATGCCGCTGATCTTCGAGACCAACTTTTTGACAGAATAATAAGACAGAACCGTGATATTGGGAAAGCAACGAAGAATGGATTCATGAGTGCCATTATAGGTGGCTTGGGAAGCATTGTTGCAAGACATGAATAAATTGAGGGAAAGACGAGTGTCTGGATCCGAGATGTCGACAGGCTCAGTGTCTGGATGCCTCAGATTATCGAGCATATCTGGATCTAATTTATCATTTTCAAGTGTAGCCGACGAAATCTTCTGAATGAGCTCTTGCACGAAACGAACATGGCGTATAGGAGACGTCGTTTCGGCAATGTCTAGATCGTCATCAGCATCAGGGAAGGTGGGGTGCTCATCCACAGCCAACATCCCCGCAATAGCAGCAGCGCCAGTCTGGATTCGCCGCATTTGTGCTAAGTCTTCCTGTTCCCTGAGAGTGCCGGGCTCATCATCATCAGGGTCAGACTCCTCTGAAATGGAATTAGAGTCAGAGCTGGGCTCTTGATGATTGTCCTGCCGAAATTTGATGTGAGATATACTTGAAGTTGAAGCGGCGCTGTCACAGACCATGTTGTGATCACCATATGCCTGCTCATCGTGATTAGCTACTTTTGTCAATACCTCCTGTAAACGTAAATATTCTAGAATCAATAGGATTGTTTTGGAGCGAACTATTGTCATACCTGGTTACCGTAACTTTCAGTTTCATCTGAATGTGTGTCAAGACGATCATCTGGCACAGTGTCCAACTCAAAGTTAGCAGGTCCCTGTCAACAGTCAGGGAAAAATCTCAGCAAAATGTGTCAGTCTTGCTAACCATTCTTCAGCGTTTGGTGGGCCTCTCAGAACTGAAGTTGTCAGGAGGGTCATCGTCGCTGCCGGATTCGGATGAGCTGTCTGATCTGGAGCCCACAACTTCATTTGATTTTGAAGGGCCGGGGACTGTTCTTGCTTGTCGCCATTCGGCAAAGTCATCGACAACTGTGTTTCGATTTTCCACTGTTGCATTTCGCGCCGCAGCATGATGCCTCTGCTCAGTCCGTTTGTCTTTCAATGCTCCCTCACATTTCTCGCAAAAGCAGGGCACAGAGCCATTCTTTCGGCTCATGCGGATTTACTGTAATGAAATGTCTTCTTAGCACCCTCAAGATCAGATGACTATTACAGTAGTGGTGACCTATTGCTGTTTATAAGGCGGTAGCTAGTCTGAGTCGTCCGTATTTGCTTGTATCTACCATTGGGAAGTCTGCAACTGTTAAGAAAGTGTTAGCATGTTCAAAAGAGGATGAAAAGTCCCACACCATGCTAGACAACGCGATGAAAAGCGTGTAGCAGAAAAAATCAAACGTCCTCAAGACGAGTGTGTGCTGGCGTGGCTGAGCTAAGGGCAGGCCGTTGTCCAATGATGTCATCGACGGAGCGGAAGTTGCTACTTTCCAGAAGTTTCCAGCTGAGCCCGGAAATGGCCGCTACCCCGCTTTTCGTGTCCATCAGACCCCAGCTATAGCCAGTAATACCCGTGTGTATCCAGATCTGTCCAGAGCAGGTTTTCACTGGGAATGAGTGCTGAGCCCCAGTGAAAATCAAACCGAACCACACTGAGCTAATTATAAACAACCCAACGTCATCGATCCAAATCTGACACGATTGAAGGCAAATTGAAGGAAATCCATCCCACCACTTGTCCAATTCCTCTGCAACAGTCTGAAACCCCATGAGTTCTGCTGCGTTGATGCACTCCTGAGAAATTTGCCCGGCGAATGTGCTCTGTTGCGCAGTTGAACCGACTCCCCAACCCCACACCAAATCACAACACGTGCACGCCTCAGCACTTTTTCTTTATTTAAATTACTCCCCTCTCACTCCCACAGCCTCTCCGTCGCCCTCCTCCTCCCCACCACATTACTATCTTGGGCCGTCTCCATGATACTTCCACCAAACGATCTCCCGGCCAGCCGCCGTTGCGTCACCTCTCTGGCTCCAGTCGCTCTACGATGCAGACAAGTCTCGTCTCGTTAAGGGAGAAGACCAGAGGTCGTCGATGGGTATTTCGACTGTTGTATGTGGTTTTCCATGTGACGGAATTTGTGCTAGGATCTAGTAAGAACCCCCTTTGCTTTGGTGAAGAATCTAAGTTGATTTGTATGCGGTGTATGTGCGCCGTTCAGTTACAGGGCTATGCACCCTTGGTGGTTTTTGGTTTACAGGACACATCCCGGGTGGAGATAGTTGTTTTTAAGAGGTAGGGACCCTTATTCCATTCAATTCTTTGGTGTATGCTGACTATATGCGTTGAAATTTAGCTTCAGCACCTCACCTTGCAACACATGCAGTCAAATCGGAGAAGACGTACAAGGAAAAGCCATTTGGAGCTGAGATATGGGAGAAAGTGAGTCTGTAATTCTGGGGCATACGCAGTTTGCTCACTCCACATTCCATCCAACACCTTCTCGGTAGAGAAACCTTTAAATAAGTAACGGAAGCCACAGCAAGAAATCATGTGAAGATGGCATGAGAAACAAGGAAGACAAGGCCACGAGAAATGGTACGTATGTTTTCGGAAGCTCAATGACTGACGTTTTAACGACGCATAACGACCAGTCATCTCTGCTAGTCGGCACTGGCACCTGAAATGGTGGTTCGTGAAGTGTAAGTCACCCCTGTTAATTTTTTTGTTATCAACACTGTTCATTCTCATTTCCAGAAATCTTTACTTTACGATGTCCCTTGAACATAACAAATTCATTATTGCCACCGCCTCAAATCACGCTTGAAATTTTAAGTAATAGCACCGGAGAAAGCCAAGAAAGGACTAGGAAGTAACAGAGGCGGGTTGGTGGCGGGACAAAAAAATAAACAGTACGTTCCATCATTTCGAACAATACTTTCTCATAACTCCCATTTACGTAGCGGCACACATTGTACTTGGTCCTTAAGCAGGCTCTGTTTCCTCATCAACACTCCTCGCTCTCTGATCGCCTCGCTCAGGCCAGTGACTGTTTTAGTAGGTCACTTCAACTGCTTGTGCTTAAATTTCTCACTGACTCTGTTTTTCAAGTACCCGAAATGGCGTAGAACTCAAGTAGAACCTGCGTGGTGTGGCAAGTCATCTTTCTTTCACCTTTTCCATTCTTTTCTGACTTGGCGATTTCGGTTGCACCTTTCAATTTGGCTCACTTAGGTCTCCGGCGCACTCTATGCCACTCCACATCCTGGGTAAAGACAGTTGTTTTTGAAAGGTAGGGACCCTCATTCTGTTTAATTCTTTGGTGTATGCTGACTATATGTGTCGAAATTTAGCTTCAGCGCCCTGCCTTGCAACACATGCAGTCAAGTCAAAGGAGAAGTATGAGGGGAAGGCATCTGAAGCTGAGATTTCTGAGATATGGGAGAAAGTGAGTCTGTCATTCTGGGGCATACGTGGTTTGCTCACTCCACATTCCATCCAACACCTTCTCGGTAATCAGACCTCTGATTAAGTGACGAAAGCCATGGCAAGAAATCATCTCATGCGAAGATGGCATGAGAAACAAGGCAGACAAGGCCACAAGAAGTGGTACGTATGTTTTCGGATTCTCGGAAGTGATCTGACGTTATAACAAGGCGGCATAACGACCAGTCGTTTCTGCTAGCTGGCATTGGCACCTGCAAATGTGGTTCGTGAAGTGTAACGCCGTTGATTTTTTCGTTGTCAGCGCTGTTTATTTTTATTTCCAGAATTCTTTACTTTACGACGTCCCTTCAACATGACAAATTCATTATTGCCACCGCCTCAAATCGCGCATGAGAATTTCAGCAATAGCACTGGAGAAAGACAAGAAAGGAATGGGAAGTAACATAGGCAGCTTGGTGCCAGGACCAAAAAATAAACAGTACGTTCCATCATTTCGAACGATATTTTCTCATAACTCCGGTTTATGTAGCAGCACACATTGTACTTGGTCCTTAAGCAAGGTCCGTTTTCTCATCAACACTCCCCACTCTCTGGTCGCCTCGCTCAGGCCGGTGACTGTTTTAGTATGTCACTTCAACTGCTCACACTTAAATTTCTCACTGACTCTGTTTTTCAAGTACCTGACATGTTGTAGAACCCAAGTAGAACCCGCGTCTTGTGGCAAGTCGTCTTTTTTTTGCCTTTTCTGTTCTTTTCTGACTTGGCAGTTTCAGTTACGCCATTCAATTTGGCTCGGTTAGATCTCCGGCGCACTCTATGCCGCTCCTCACCATTCTCAGTCACTTTTGCTCAACGGCCAAGTCTTGGAACGGATTCTCAAGGTCTCGGTTTCGCCCGATTTCATTCAATATGCTCAGACACTTTGTTTCTGTCTGGATCGATGTGGTTTGGTCGCATTGTCCACCATCAGTTTGCTCTTGCTAGATTAGATTTGGTTTCGGTTAGATAGCCCTCAATGTAGCTGGGTTTGAAATCTAGCCAGACTTGTAAAAGTCTCTATCGTCGAACCACATCTAAATCATTAGATTTGACTTGACGTGGTTCGACCCCCTTAGCCCTCATTTTCACTGGGGGTCAGGGAGGAACTGAGCCGGTAAGTGTTGTGTCAGTCCCGGTGGCACTTTTGATTTGAAATGATAAATTCAAAATTAGATATTTCAAACGAAAAGCAAACACCATGACAGTGAGTATTCTTCATCATATATATCATCTATTTCACATAATGCGCGCAGTCTACTATCAGTTATATGCTAAAGAAGGCCCACCCAAATCAAACAACCTGATCTTCTCCAGTGATCTCTTCATCAGTCGTAGTATCTCCGAGTTATCTAAGTCAGTGAGACCCCCCCATACGGCCGCATCACTGAAGGGGCACACCTGCAAGATTGAAGGCGTGGAAAACAGCGCTTTGTATCTGCCGCTGTCAGGAAAGAAGCCTTCGGACGACTCTAATCGTCTTGCGCTCAGAGGGAACTCTGGGCTTGCTCTGGGCCATGATCATCTGAGGTTGTGCTGTAATTTTTGTTGTTGATAAGGGCACTGATGAGAAAAGACCGAAGTCTGCAGGTAATTTGGGCTCAAATGAATTGCCTGCATGGAAGACTGAACAACGTTATGGTGTGCCTTGTGGTTTTATTCTCAAAATCATGCTCATCAATGTATTAGTATTGACTTTATGACGATGATGATGAAGCCGTGTCGAAAACATCGTTTGACGAGGCCGACTCTTCTTTGGGTCATATTGACACATTTTACCATTCCGCCACTGCTTAAAGTCACTTCCTTAAAAGATTATCTTGTTCATGTAGAAGGGGTGTCGGGTCACAATGTTCAGTTGCTGGAAAACAAAGATGGAGAGGTTACCTTGAACGATGGCAATGCCACTGCCCTTCTCACTGAGAGTTTCCCAGGCTCAAAAGAGGCGAAGCCGATGGTGTTCACATATGCACGGAATGCTTCTGATAAAATGATGGAACTGAGAGTCCTTCTTTTTCGAAATATCTTACAGCCACTTCAAATTGGGGGTGAGTATTTTACGACTTGTAATTTTCTCTACTATAAATCATTTTTTCAACCCACTAGGCCCTTGAGATGGGCCTGTACTGGACTCTCATGAGATGGAAGCCATCATTTGTTTCATCACAGCTGCTTTGGCCTTTGCCTTCTGTCGTCCAGTTGTCTTCTTTCTGTTCTGTGGTTTACTCTTGTCTACCTTAAGTAACAGACACTTGTCAAATCAAAATGAAGCTGTTGTGTTGCAGTGCTACTTACCTTCTTATAAGCCATCTGAATGCATTCTTGTGGTGTGAATGCTCTTTCAAAATTATCCAGTTGCCAAAACTTGGAGACAGCATTAACTCCACGCTGGGTTAGTTGGACTGAGGTGCCCCATCGAGTAGCACCTTCAGGACTGTCACTCAGCATTGTGGAGTGGAAATCATGCTTTCCTCTCCAAAAAATTTCTACCAGTCCCTGAGCACTGTATTACTCACATTAGAATTAATTTTAACAGACTGGAGTTTATTTTGACATACTGTTGAAAGTCAACACCAATTCCATACTCGCCCCACAAGAACCCACCACCATCAATTTCATCGTGATCTTTATCACTTTGAAAAGAATAGACTGGCTTCCCCTCTGAAGTGAAATCTCGCGCAGAGGTCCACCAAAGCCCAAATGCAACTGCAATGTGGTCTTTGTCTCTGTATTGAAAATTGGAAAAATCATCATTGGTTAGTGTTAAACAGTTTGAGAAGGGTTGGGCCTTCGAATTTCCATCCAGAAAATCATCGAACGATGGAATTCTGCCCCTAAAGAATTGAATTTAACAGCCTATATTAAATGAGGAAGGATCAACGCACTCTCGTGAGGTCTCAATCAGTGACTTGGCTCCAGCAGGAAATAAGTAGCAAAACTGTGTTTTGAACATGTCAGCAACAGCAGGAAGTTTTTCCAGAAGTTCTTCATACCTTTTTTCAAAAAAAAAAAACAAAGTGATCTGTGAGGGAGAGAAATTGCAAACATAGAAAACTTACTTAGTGATAGTTTCTTCACTGCAAGAGTTGGGAGCATAATAAGACAATGTCTTCCCAAGTTCCATACTTTGGTGCCATCCAACCCCATACATTTTCCCATAGAGTTTCTTGGTTGTCGATACAGACATGTCTTGACCATGTACCTCTTTCCTGCAATCAATGTAGCCTTGTGGACGGTTTTGTGCCTACCAACGTTTTCATTCTTTGTATTCATGAAGTGTAATTTAACTTACTCCATTATTCTTGATGACATGGACACAAGTGGTTCAATCCATGAGTGTTTGTAGATTAGCTTGTGTATCATGTCGCAGCTGTGACGGCATCTCTCCCCAAGCTCTGTTGAATATATAGTAAATGGAATATTAAATAATATGTTACATATGTTATTCTCAGAATAAATACAATCTGTCACATTGCTTGACGGATGCCAAGGTGAACACCAGGCTGATGGATCCACTTGGTATTGAGAGACTTGAACTCTGTGTCATGGTGGGACAATGGACTGTTTTGCTTAACCTCAAGAAGCTGGAGTTTGGCGAGATATTTGGAGTCGCAGGATAGGTCGTGAATGTGCACACGTTCAACAGGTTCACCAAGAAGCAAAGCGATCATCAGAAAGTAGTTGACATTTATGAAAAACAGTAAAAAACTACAATACATACAATTTTTTGCTCATCAGCTCTAATAGACCACTCATGGTTCTGCTGCTGTAAATGCTCCTGTTGCTTTGCAGCAGCTTTATTCCGACGACGCTCATTTTTGGCTCAGGTCTAAATCCTTGCAGGTGAAGAAGTCAAGAGAAAAATGATAATGATATTTGATCACCTTTTTGGATCCAATGAGCTGATACACAAGCGTGAGCATGAATACATGAGCCAAGGTGACAACCAAACCTTGGTTTCATTGTGAGATGTGATTTCACCTTCCTCTTCCTCATCAATCTCCATTCCTTCCCCCTCATCACTCTCCATTCCTTCATCTATATCTTGATTAGCACCACTATCTTGATCAAGCCCTACATTATCTCCATGTTCTGGATCTCCTGTACCAGAAAATTTTAGACTGAGTAACTTTTCAAAGACTGGGGCCTATAATGGTATGAGTGAGATGTAAGCATAGGGCCAAAAAATAGTTCATACCAGCTGCACGACGTTCATGATGGTTGGATGTCGTAGGAAAGATATCAATTATATAATCCGTACCAGAACAATCATGTGATCAAAGTTGGAACAAAACTCCGCAGCCTTTTCCATTCTACCACTGTGACTGTTACCATGATGATGACTCTTTGCCATTGTCATAAGCTCCACGTATAGTGAGGCTGGGCATATGGAACGTATCCGTGCTACGCATTAATTTGTGAGGCTGGATACCCGACAGCAGTGGATCATGGTGAGCAACACGCCTCACCAGAGACTCCACTGTGCTCTACTTCTTACTCTGGTGCCGTTTTGATGTGCCTGTTTGCTTACTCTACACTTCACGTTGTCGTGTTTGAGTGCCAGGTGGTATGGTAGGTAAGTTGGATTGTCCATTACAGAATGTATCCCTCACTCCCCACGAATAAACAGGTCACCCACATCACCAACCCACCATATGCAAGGACACAGCAAATGTGCGCATCCTTCGCCCACCCTTGCTTTCACGTCGACGCCGCGCACTGTCCATGCTGAGAAACGGAGGAAATTGCTCCCACAGCCAACGACGCCCACGCCGCTGCCACCGATGCCGACAATGACAAGAATGACACACGCAAGTAAGAGGAAGTCATTAGGCGGCGACGAGGAGCCCCAGCTCAAAGTAGAGCAGCCAATGATGGTGTCGACTAGGAAGAAGAAAATGCGCAAAGACGAGTTGGATATGTGTCTTGAGGTTTGTTTTATTTTCTCTCTCGTTTTCACAGCTTATTTATTATGTTTTAGCAGAGTAAAGGGAAGAGCATTGATAAAGGAAAAGCAAAAGCGAGGGAGGAGCCGGTGTCTACCTCAGCACCACCAATCCCTGATCCCAGCTGCTAGAAAGACGAGAAGGAAGTCGGCGGCGGCAGTGGGGCTGCCCAACAACCCTTCATCATCTTCCTCCTTGCCTCGTCTTGCTGCCAGCACCTCTACCTCCACCCTTACCTCTACCCCTCAAAGGACTTCTGAAAACGCCCCATCACCATCCTTACCAATCCCATACCACCTTCTCCCGACGCATTCATTTAACAGCCCCCAACGCACGTCCAATCCCCACTCTCACCCACCACCTCAACACGAATGAGCATAACCATGCCCACACCAGCATCTATCCACCCCGGCCTCATTACGCGGTCATTAGCATCCGCATTGGCCAGGTCCTCCTCTACTGGCACAAGATACACTTTCTGTGCCCCATCGGGAACTGATTGTCAGAGTTGTCAAATACGATTTCCACTGTACGTCTGATCATCATCTCAATTTGGACCTCAGGGCAAACATCTGGCACTCCGACGTCGGTGGGTTATATTATCATAGAGTAGACAAAAATAGGTACAAAACACCTGCTTGTGCAAGTTGGGCAAAAGGATAATGGTGCGAAATGGTGAAGGAGTGAGGCAGAGAACATGATTTCATGTTTACTCAACACAAAGCTCGCTATTTCTTCCTCGCACTCCCCAAGTTACCCTCCGAGCGAACCGTGACCCTCATCCCAGAGTAATTGAAAAGGACAAGAAGCCCTGTCGCACCAGTGAGCAGGTGGCTGCCAAGAAAGACCAAAAAGTTCTGGAGAACATCAACAAGGCTCAGAAGAAGGAAAACACGATCAAGAATGCTGCTCACCTTGAAGATGCCATGGATAAAGAGGACAAGCTCAGGCTCCTTGAAGCCAACCATCCACCCTTCAATACGCAAAAGAAGGCTGCCCAGTCCCAGTCTCAGAGACTGACTCAAGCAGTGCCGGAAGGTATGTCGCCTGCAGCGTCCACACAGAAAACCACACACAGCCCGCCCACAGACGATGACATATATATGTTCCTGAAGACAAACACCCAGAGGATGGAAGTGAGGGTGAGGTTCTCCACAAGTCAGATGATGATAGCGCACTGGGCCCAAGCCGAAGAAATCGAGGGGTGAATTGCACAAGAAAATCGAGGCCGCACGCACATCGGCAGTGCCTCCACAGACGGTAACAAGCAGAAGGCTGCTCAAGGTCCTGGAGCGTAAGTCAAATGTTAAAAATGATTGTCGACCATTACTGACTTACTTACCTGCAGATCCACTTCAGAAACGACTCAAAAGAAGCCAAAGAAGGCGAACGACGGCCTCCGCAATGACTGGAATGCAAAGTCAACCTCCCACGACGATGAATATTGTCTACTAACAGAATCTCAACCTTCTCATTGCCATTCTGTTTCAGCGGGCTCTGCAATGTTGACTTCAGGCCTACGCGGTGACGTTCCTCCAAGTTCTGGTGGAGAGGGATCAGAAGCGGACCAAGTGGGAGTTGTGGGTGATGATGCTGGTGAGTTGTCGGAGCGTCCACGGTGGACTCGCAGAAAAGTCGAAGGCGTCGCTGCGATATGCAGGCGAGAGCTTATCTGTGTGACTTTCGCAAACTACAAACTTTCACACAGTCCAAGTCCTTAGCAAAGATCGTTCCCACCTTGTTCCCACCACTTCATTTCCCAGCAGCTTTGTCCCTCCTTCATCTTCCCGCCATCAGTTCGAAAAGAAGGAAGACGATCACCTTAGCGACCTTCCGGAACGCTTGCAACACACCTTCGACGCAATTTTCAGTCCTCGCCTCCATGAGTATCTAGGTTTCTCACAGACGCCTTTGGGATGCACCTACTTACCAAGCCAACCATCGATGACCTGTGGGCGCAAGCATTTCCGTCGTTTCCTCTTCGAGAGGAGGCTTCCCTGAACCACATCGTCAGCAAGCTGGTACGTTTCGTCTAATCATTCTAGTGTCTAACTGATATCATGTTTCTAGATTGATGAACGTGTGTATTCATGGTGCGAGCCGTCGAGTATCTCACCAAGTTCATCTTCCTTCAGTTACCTGACAACACGAGAGAGCAGAGGGCACTGTGGAGCACATGGACCATATCTGGTTCTGATTGACAACAGCCATTTTACTATCTTGTCTACGAGGACAAGGAAGAGGGGAGTAGCTCTGGTCCTGTTACCAAGGTGTGCCGTAATGTTTTGAGCATCACGTCTTGATCTAATCAGTGGTCACAGGGTATACTCCAGTATCTCGCAGATCGCGACAGCTCTTCACTCTGAGGACAACAAACCTATTGGTGCTCTGGTCCTTACCATACAAGCCGTGAGTCTTTCTTTCAATTCCCGTTGAATGGCTGTGACGATTTCTTATGTGAAACGTGCAATTGGGCTTTACATTACAGGAGAACTCGTAAAACCACCTCAACCTCTCGACGATTTCTCGAACTTGACAACTGGGGGGACACCGTGCACCGCCATGAGGCAAAGAGCAAAAGGTCAAGACAACATCATGCCTAGTCAACGTCATCCTCAAGCTCAACAACAAGCAATGGGAGAAAAAATTGTATCAGCGGCGGCTTGGTCATCAAAGCAGAAGCGGCAGACTATTTCAGCGATGTTTCCCCAGGCCACAGCCCCTTCCAGTGAGTCAGATTTTGAGTTAGCGACGATGAGGATATATTGGAGGGTTAACCAGTTCTAGTAGTACCACTGTTTTAGAATTTTATTCTCTATATACAAGTCTTTTGCCAGCTTCCACTAAGTCCCCTTCTGAAACGCTGTAGCTCTTTCACTGTCCCTTTTCGAACCACTTGTGGCCCCTTTTGTCCCTTTTGAAAGCTGAAACCATTTTTTAAGGAATATGGCCTGGCCCTTCCAAAGTGGTGAAAGCGAGGTCTTTACCATCCCCCATGAGTTCCGGCGGATTCCAAGTGGAATGTCGGAATTCCATGGAATTCCGATGGAAACCAGTTGGCTGGAGCCTCAGCCATTCTGGTTTCCAATTCCATGGAAATTCCAATGGAATCCGATGGAATCCAGTGGAAATGGTTGGAATCCAGGAGCCTCCCAGAACAGTTTCCATTGGAATCCATTGGAATTCCAACCAGATTCCATGGAATTCCAATGGAAAGTACATTTAATATATTCCAGTCAAATTCCAACAGATTCCGAGAGATTCCAATGAATTCCAATATTTGTTGTTGTTATTATAATATATAAAAAAAATAAGTGGATGCATGAGGATTGAACTCTAGCCTCGGGAAATATCACATGAATCTCTGAGCAGCAATATTTCCGCTACACCATATGGCTGTTAAAGGCCTGCAACATTAATTCTATATAACCCATCCTCACGCCCACCTTCCTAAACGAGTCATGGCGTTTGCCGGCGTCAACATCAGCATCTCCGTTTTGCTGTCAACCACAACCACAACCACAACCACAACCACCGTCACCGTGACCAGCGCAGTCACCTCCAATCACGCCCACGCCAACAGACAACGACAATGACAACGACAATGGACGACGACACGACGACGACGACAGACAACGACGCGTCAGCGACAACAAGGACGGCGACAAGTCAACGGATGACGAGGACGACGACACATCAACAGACGACAACAACAGACGACAAGAACAGATGACGACAACGGACGACGACAATGACACGTCAACAGACGACAACAATGGATGACAACAATGACACGTCAATGGACGACAACAATGGACGACAACAACGACACGTCACGTCAATGCACGATGACAACAGATGACACGTCAGTGACGACCAGTACTTTACAGTGCCCCACCTATTCCTGCAGGAATCCTGCAGGAATGGGATCATTCCAGTGGAATTCCAGGGGAATCCTGCAGGAATAGAGTCATTCCAGTGGAATTCCAGAGGAATTCCAGAGGAATCCAGAGGAATTCCAGTGGAATCCACAGCATTCCACTGGAATTCCACTGGAATAGGACTGGAATCAAGCAGAGTAAGTTTTTTTCAACTCCAAGCTTATTCTGATGACTTGGCACTCATATTTCCTTATAAAATTCACATGTAGAAGTCATAGATTGAGTTGTAATTTATTTGAAATGTATTACTACACAAACTACACAGTTTATCTTAAAGGGAGGGGGTAGAGGAGGGACAAGGTGGGGATGTATTTGAAATGTATTACTACACACATTACACAGTTTATCTTAAAGGGAGGGGGTAGGGGAGGGACAAGGTGGGGGTGTATTTCTATTATTGGGAGGGACAAGGAAGGGGGAAGAACAAGGGAGGGGAGGGAGGAAGGGGGGAAGGACAAGAAAGAGGGAAGGAAGGAAGGGGGAGGGACAAGGAAGGGGGAGGGAGGAAAGGGGGGAAGGAATGGTGGAGCAAGGGGGAGGGACAAGGAAAGGGGGAAGGAGGCAGGGAGGGAGGGAATGGTGGAGGGGAGAGGGAGTGTGGCTGGGACCTCAGCCATCGTCGTCCCGCGTTGGCATCCCATCGTTGTGTCGCATTTCGTTGTCGCCTCCTCGTCGCGTCGTGTGTCCGCGTTGTTGCGTTATTCGTGACGTTGTCGTCGCCGTCGTCGTGGGCGCTGGTTGCCGTTGGGGGCGTCGTCGTGGGTGGCGTTGGTGTGGACGTGGTGGTTTTGGTAGGCGGTGTGGTGCCGTCGTATGTCGTGTGGGCGGTGCGTGTTTTTCGTTGGGCGGCGCGTGTTTTTCAGTGGGCGGCGCGTGTTTTTCGGTGGGCGGCGCGTGTTTTTCGGTGGGTGCTCGTGTTTTTCGGTGGGTGGTGGGATGTTTTCGTGGGCAGGGTATGGTTTTCGTGCGTGCTGGCGGTGTACATGGGCGGTGGGCGTCGTTTTGTGCCCGTCGGGTGTCGTTTTGTGTCCGGGGGCGTTGTTTTCGTGGGCGTTGGGTGTTTTCGTGGGTTACGGCGCTCGTTGTTTCGTGACGTGGCGTCGCCGCGTTGTTGTTGAAGGGTGTCGTGGTTGATGTTGGTGGTCGTGGTGGCCATGGGTGATCGAGGAGCGATGTTGGCGGTGGTGGCTATGGGTGACGGTGATGGCGTGGCGTTGGCGGCGGTGACGAGCATGGTGGTGGTGGTGGAAGAAGAGAGTGGCCATGTTTGGTGAGCATGTTCACCAAACAAACATTGTTTGTGATCCATTGAAAATAAATAAACTATAATACAGTAATAAATAAATAAAATAAACAGATTGGACTGGAATCCCATTCCTGCCCACTCCGGGGAACACCATTCCTGCCCATTCCGGGGAAGACCATTCTGGGGAACATTCCGGTGTACATTCCGGAATCCACCGGAATTCCACTGGAATGGAAAACACCGGAATAAACAATTTAGCAGGGCCTTCTGCTAAATTCCATTCCACCGGAATGACCGGATTCCTGCAGGAATAGGGGGGGCACTGCTAAGACCTTGTGACGACGAGGACGGCCACACGTCAACGCACGACGATGGACGACGACAAGGACGACAACGACAACGACAACACGTTACGTCAACGGACGACATGTCAGTGATGACGAGACAGCCACATGTCAACGGACGACGAGGACGACGACAACCATGTCAACCGATGACGTCGACGAGTGCCCATGACGATGACGAGCCCCCTCCCTTTTCCCTTTCCCCTCCCTTTTCTCTCCCCCTTCCTATTCCCTCCCCCTTCCTTGTCCCTCCCCTCCCTTTTCCCTTTCCCTTCCCTTTTCCATCCCCCTTCCCTTTTCCATCCCCCTTCCCTTTTCCATCCCCCTTCCCTTGTCAATCCCCTATTTTTTGTGCCCCCCCCCCCCCCCTTCCTTTTCCCTTTTCCCTTTTCCCTTTTCCCTTTTCAGGAGGTTTGAATTTCTGACTTCAATAAATACAGCTCAAGTCACCTGACCTCTAGCTCGGTTCTGATCAGTGCTAATCAGTCTTGCTCAGCACTGATCAGCTCTGATCAGAGCATGTGGGGAAGGGTAAAGTACTGAAGACCTATTCAGAGTCCAGCAGAATCCATTGGAATTCCATTCAGAATCCGGCAGAATCCACTGGAATTTGAGATTCCTACCATTCCGGCAGACTCCGGATGGAATTCCGACATTCTATGGGAGTCTGCTGGAGTCCACCAGAACTCATGGGGGAGGGTAAAGTACTGACAATCTGATGCCAGTGATTTCAGTGGAAATTCTGTGGAACCTTTTTGAGCAAAACTTTCGTTTGGAGCTTCGTATGGTCAACCAGCAAGTTTTACCGGCAAATTGGGCCTCGCAGGAATTGGTGGCAGTTCAAGATGAGTTGGTTTGGAGGACTTTCCCCGAGGACGATGATGGATATATTGTTGGGAGATTGCCAGAGACCAATGTGGGACTCGTCGCGGAGAACTGGAGGGATCAGGCAAGGTCGGTAGAAGCTTTATGGGCACTCTCATAGGTTGGCCTGGTCCTGATGCGCGTGCACTTGCATCAATGTCAATATTTGATGGGTCTGGGAAGTTGGCAACGACACGCACGGACTTTGAGTGTATGGAGGAAATGGCTGTCGGACTGTATTGCCAAACATTCTTCAATTACTTCAGTCGTGCCCCCTCCACCCCACATCGCATTGCTACTTCATAATTGCCAACTTTGTCATCTTGGATTCTTTTGTCTTGTCGGTGTTTATATCTTGCACGTTTATTTTGGTACCTTTCTTTTTTTAATATACATGTGAACTTGCATCCGTTTTAGGAAAGTTTTGGGGTCAGATAAGAGTGCCTTGTCTGTGATCGACATTCTGCTTTCTTCCCCCTTCTTTGTGTGTCCTTCACTCAGCCAAGTCATCATGTCAATGTACAAGAAAAAACCAGCTAAGTCTTTGCCACCAGAAAATGCTGGCCTTTTTCCTGTAAACACTGCACCCAAATCCTTGAAGGCCCATAAAGCTGTTAAAGGAAATCTGTACACACCAGCTGGACATTTTGTCCAGCCCTTTAAGCCTGGGGTTTCCAAGAAAGCAGACCCTTTTCAGCCACTGGCAACAACTCTTACCTTTGAAAATGAAGGTGATACTGTCCACTTACCAGGCAAAAAGCAGAAACAATTTCAGCATTGGGAAACCGAGGTTCTTCCCAGTCTAATGGAGCCATATGTCAAACTTCTCCATGAAACGGACTCTTTGCAAGATATGGTGCAAGTTCATTCTCGAAGTCACTGCTCTGATTGTGGGTCAGGCAGACAGTTGAATGTTGCATGCATTTTCTTTGAGCGTATGTGTTCTAGTATATCTCAAGAAGTCACTAATAATTTTGGCAGGTATTGAGATTCTTTCCCTCTGCAATTGCACTTCCCCAGCACTTCAACTCCTTGAGCTAGGGTTCTTTCCATGTGCACCAGTTAATCCATCTCTCACTTCAGTCACCCATTTTTGGGTACCTATGAGGTACATCAATTCCTTGATTTAGGGTACCTTGAGGGTACCCATTCCAGGGTGGTATATGAGCTCCATACCAATACCATGGTACCATGGAATGGAAAACCCATACCATACCCCACTCATACCAATACCATGTTACCATACCATACCAATACCATGTCACCATACCATACCAGATGGTATGATGTCTTCATACCATCATACCAAAGCTGACATAGGGTGTCTGGGGTCCTTTTCCAAAATATAAAAATTATTTCTGCAGGCTGCAATACTCGTCCATTGGGTGCCATTTTTTGTGGGGTGGTTCTCCAGGTTTTTCCTGAGATATTAGGCTACAAATTGAGGCCAGATAGTCCAAACCATCTATTGAAAATGAGTTTAAATAGGCTTTATCCCAAATTTCCCATGCATCCAAAGCCATTTAATGATACATATCTTTCCCAATCCTTTCTATTAAAACAATATTCATCCAAATCAAACAAAACCACATCTATTGTGATGAAGTGGTCATAGAGAAGAAAAGAAAAGTGAAAAGGCTTTCAGGTTTTTGCTAAGATTTCCAATTCCAAGTGGAGGCCAGATAGTGAACTCCAACCTTTAAAAATCAGTTCAATTGAGGGTTTTTTCATTCCTGAAAAGCCATTAATATGAATGCTTTCAATAATAGGTTAAATATATTTTGCCCAGTAGGGCCAATCAGACAGTCCTGCCTACTTACATAGCATACACATATAGTATGGCCAACAACACCATCATATAATCTCAATTTTCTTAAACACTACATATGTTGGAATCAAGTATTGTTGTCCTGAGTGTTTGGCCAAAGTCTTCTTTGTCATAATAGTTGGTCCAATTTATTGAAGCTAGGTGAATCTGTCCAATCCAAAGTCTTGTCAGAGTCTCCATTATCAAAATATTATACCATGGTGTTGTAATCCCATGTTGCACTCTCATACCATACCATACCATAGTATTGCACTCCCATAACATACCATACCATGGTTTTGCAATCCCATCCCATCCCATACCATACCATGGTGTTGCAATTCCATCCCATACCATACCATGGTATTGCACTCCCATACCATACCATACCATGGTATCACACTCCCATACCATACCATACCATGGTATAGCACCCTCATACCATACCATACCATGGTATCACACTCCCATACCATACCATACCATGCACCCTCATACCATACCATGGTATCAGGAACCATAATCTATTTTTATTTAGGCAGAGGAAGGCAGAAAACCCTCATTTCGAAGTTTGTTTACATATATTTACCAATAGCTTTGACTGAAGTGAGGCTAAAATTTTGTAGTGTCCGCTTTGATGATTTCCTAATTGGGCCATTTCCTAATTGGGAAAAGCGTTACACTTTTTTCTGCCACACCTAATGTCAGGCACAGTGTGCAGTTAGGTTGGGAACTGTTTCCCACGCTCTTTGGGCCA